GGTTGGTTTGGTTTTATGGTTAAATTGCTATTGCAAATTTGATTGCTTTTTCGAATAGGTACATACATGCAAAACTTTCAGGGTGAAATGCTTTATTGTGAAAAACATTTCTAGGAAGACGACCGAACTCAATGAACTATAAAATTTACGAAATTAAGAGGTGGATTGACAGATCGTATGGATGACATTGTGTAGTGATTTATTTTAACACAAGCTTTCGGAAAACAACTGTTTCCTTCCTCAGGTGGTTAGAAATAATTACAATAATTATTTACACTTGACAAAGTTTAGTGAAAAAATAAGATGGGTAATAAATAGCAAAATAGTTGTTGACAGTAAGTTGTTGTCACGGACGCTGGGGTCGTGGCGCTGGTGGAATTATCAGCTTCGATGTAAGGGGAAGTAATAATGAACTCCATATAGGATTGATGTCCATCCCCATATCTCTGTTCATTCTATGTGGAGTGTTTTTGATAAATAATGCTTCTTTGAATTTCCGATGGAAATATCTTGGTTCCCTATTAATTAGAGTTGCTGACTCTTGATTTATTTTGTGGGATGAATTTTGTATTATATGTAGAGCGACGGCAGATTTGAGATTTTTCTTTGTTATATCTCGTACGTGTTCCTTAACTCTTTCTTCCACTGATCGCGATGTTTCTCCGATGTAGGTGGATGGACAAGTGGCGCATTCAATTTTATATATAATTTGTTTCGGTGGCTCTTTTTGCTTGTGCGAGCATATTTGGTTACCAATTTTCTTTCCAGGAATGAAACCGAAATCGCAGTCCAGTTTTCTCCTGAGGTATGTGGTAAGGTGGTGTGTCACTGGACCCATATATGGAAGTATCATACGTTTTTTCGGTTCCTGTTCCTCGTATTCACGTATTCAAATGCAGTGTAAAAACTTTTTACAATTTCTTTTGTACCTACCTACGTGTATTAGACACATGGATAAATCCTGAATTGTGATGGCTATAGGATTTCTACAGTGGGTTTAACTATACAGTACAAAAATTAGTAAACAATTATTACCATTATTTTGTGCTTTCCACGGCCTAATGGACCCCACTGACAATGTAGGTCTCCCCAGCGTATACTCTCAGATTTTGACGAAACTAGTGTAAATCGATCACAAATTTAATCAGTATGAAATTTTTAAAAGACAAGATCTCAAAATATGCAGTTTGACCCAGATATTTGCATCCGAAGAGGGAGAAAACCGTCACTAAATTTGGAAATCATAAAATTTGTCGACTTTGGGCACGCTTTCTACTCTTCGGATGCAAATATTTCTGCCAAACGTGCCCATTGGGAGATCATGTCTTTTACAAATTTCATACTAATTAAATCTGAGATCGATTGAGAATTGAGACTAGTTTGGTCAAAATCGGGGAGCATACGCTGGGAGACCTCCATTCTGAGTGGACTCCACTTTGAGTGCCACACGTTGTCTCAAAATGAAATGCCACAACCGTCTAATGCTGACTATGGAATGCTCATGATGTCATCATCTCCAGTACATTTTACAAAACGTGCTATACAATCCACTTTCTCCAAATTTCTATTGTTTCATTTCACGATATATCCACTTCCTTGACGGATATAGAAAATGGGACGAGTCGAACGTACATATATACGTACATCAGGGCATGAGATAAATATGATGGCACGGGACTTGATAAAGTTGTCGATGAAATTGGGTACACTTGGTACACGAAATAATATCAGAAAGCAATCCGGTCGGAAATAAAGTTCCTCCACGAGTTCTTCTTCTTCTTCGTTCAAGGAAAACACTCAGAAAAGACAAACTTCTTCACTCAGACCCACTGACGAAAACAAATAGAAAAACTTTTTATCAACTGAAATGGAATTTGTTAAAAAGTTGGAAAAATGTGACGAAATTCGTCCAGAATTGATTTCACTTTTTTGTTTGTTTCATGATTTACGCTTTCACTTGAATTATTTTTCTGGAGAAAGAAAAGAGGAGGCAAATTGAGATGATTGGCTATGCAGATGGATTGCCACAAGAAATTTGCGTGCGTGGGTGTCTGTCAGTTCATGAACTCCTTTTCCTCCTTTTGTGTACACATTTTGTGAATATATTTCGTGGAATGTGTATAAGAAAAGTCAAGTAATGACTTGGACCAAGGTTGCTTCCTGGCGCAATTTCCCTTTTCCTTCCTAGCTTTCTTTCCCGAAGGAGGAGTTGCAATCAGAGGTGGGCAAAATATAGTATTTCGAGCTCCGTTCTTCTCAGGGTTTGAATCTCTAGGGCTGTTACACCCACAAAAAGATAAAAATCTACGTGGAGAAGACCGCAGTCAGTCGAAAATACAGTTTTTTTTAGAAATTAATTTCTAATCTCTGTCAAAATATATTTTTTTAAGTACAGTATTTTGACAGCGATAAAAAGTTAATTTCTTAAAAAAACTATATTTTCGACTGACTTCTGTCTTCTCCATGTTAATTCTCATGTTTTTTGTGGATATAGCACACTAAAAATCCAAACCCTGAGACGAACGGAGCTGGAAATACTGTATTTTGGAAAAGTATTTTTCCTACCCCTGGTTGTAATGCAATGTGCACAAAGTACATACATACACACAAACGTATGAAATGTACCATGGGAGGTTTGGGAATGAAGTAATTTGCTAAATGTACCCCTGTCTCCTATTTATTCCGGTCATTTGTCATATCCCGCAGGGCCTTGAACAGCCAGACTCATAAGAGCAGGAAAGGATTTTAATTTGCAGAAATCCAGACCAAGATTTCAGTTAAATAAGGTCTCTTCACAGACTTTTCGTAATGACATTTTTATTGAATTTTTATAACAACAATGACATTTTCCTACCTATTTCTTTTATACAAGTGATGGTATGTCTAGCAGAGAAAACTGAGATACAGAGAGGTAAAGAGAGAGAAGAAGTTTATCAGTTTATCAGTGTCCACATGTCGGCATCATTCCTTATTACGTGTCAGGTCAGATTATGATTCTGAGAATCATCTTTATTTCCCATATCCTCCTAAAAACATGGATAAAGCAAAGGTTAAATAATTGATTGGTTGGGAGAGAAGATGTGAATCACGAAAAAATGTCTTACGGTATCCTTCAGTCTTGCCAACCCATCCGCAGAAATAAACTGGACCCGCAGCACCACCTGAAAAACACCATCAAACTTGCCAATCAATTCCTTATAAGTTCAGAACTTTGCTAATTGGTTTAAACGAACCGCCGCTGCCAGGTCCGTGACCGTGACCCCCGTGACCGTGGTGACCTGAAGAGTCAAAGTGAGTAATTTAGAGTTATGTACATGTGATTTCATTAAATTTTTACAGACCTCTCTTAACACGGGCCACGTCCCCCTTGGTCACGGAAGCATCGGCGTTTGGAGGAATAAAGGTGAGGACGAGAATGGCAGCGATGACGAGGAGGGCAAACTGTTGAGAAGATGTATGCATTTTATGTAAAGAAAAAAACACTTAACGAAAAATTCAGTACATAAAACCAACTCACCGATTTTGGAAACATTTTGTGTAAGTAAACTGTTCGTGCTGAACTTGTAGTTGTGTAGAGGAACATGAAGTGTTTGATGATCCTTTGCACCTGAGATGCTCTCTTTTATACGAAATCTTTAACATTATGGCAAATATTGCTGCGACTACGATTAAATATGTTCCTGTGATTAAAGCGAAATCAGGGAAAACAATCACAAGATAAATAGCTTCTCGTTTTATGTACAAATGTGCGTTCGATTTGACTCAGTTTCTGGTCTAATTGCGAACAATACGGTAAAATTAAAAGGGAATTGTTCGTAATGTGCTTCACATCCCGAGTAGTTTCTAAAAGTGAAATGAAACGAAATTTCAAATTCTTTAGAATTCACGACTTATGTGCGAAATGGATGTGCAAATGGGATCCGGGTCCTTACTACATACATAAAAATACAATGTAAACACAATGTATGTACATGCCGTGTTATTTATTAGTAGAGCTTCACACGCATGGATTGTACAGCAAGTTTTTAGTACGTGGATGAATGTGTGAATTTGCAGATGTGTAGATCGTGAGACTAAATTGGTCTCGATCTTTCCCACCGAGGCGTGGGCTGCTAATGATTCTCCATTCGAAATTAGCCATTTTTAACAGTTCTAACCCTTTTCTAAACAAAAGTTTAACTTTGTACTTTGTACGGCTAATTAAACATTGGGAATACTTGTTAGTCTTTTTTTTTCTTTGAACAAATAATTCCTCAGTTTCATTTCTGGAGAAGATTTTGGTGTATGTACAGATCTTTGCTAATTAAACATTGGGAATACTTGCTAGTCTTTCTTTCTTTGATTTCTTAGCTTCATTCCTTGTGAATATTTGGGCGTATGTATGTATCTGGGTCTGAGTATTTGCATATGTAAAGTTGTTCAAAATATGTACGACTCTACCCACACGACTTATTTTGTCTGACTTATCATTAAACTCCTCTTTAATAGTTTACTGTACTTATATGTACAACTGCGCAAAATGGAATGGGATTTGCAACTTGTTTCAACTTGTTTCTTGTTCCACTAATGATAAGTATCAAAGAAAACAGAGAAAAATTATGGAACCAGAAAAGTTGTACATTTTTTTGTTTCAAACTTTGTTAAATGCTCGTACATTCTCAGAAGAACAAAATTAACATTGACAAAGATTAAGTGCTTGTCAATGAGTATTTTGCAGTTAAATACGTACTTAAATATTCTTTACATTTAACTTTGTAAAAGAACTGAAACCATTTATTAGCTTGCAGAGAGAAAAAAAGCATTTAGTTTTTTAGGATAAACTTTATTAAACTTGGAAAATACGATGTAACATACCTCCAAATAATTTACAAACTTAAAAAAAGACGATAAACTACTTAACATAAAAATTAAGCGCAAAACTAGATCTAAATGTACAATTTTATTACAAAACTAATCAAGAATATTACCTCATGGTTTCTTCAATATTTACATATTTTTAACTACCCGTACCGTTTAGTGTTAAGAATTTCAATACTTTTGTCATAAACGAGCTTATCTGCGTCAATTGCCTTAATAAAGTCTCTATGCGTCCAGAGATACCATGGGACTCGGATGCTCTCTTTGACAACATCCGGTCGTAAGAAGGATCTCGTAATGTTCACGTCCTTAAAGTCCCAACAAGATATGTACATCAGTAAAAAAAATCGCACTTTGGCCCAACTTTTCACTTACCTTTGGCGTGGCGAGGTTATCATTATCTGACCAGACGAGTACCATGGGGGTCGTTATTTTGGACAGATTATAATCTCGGGGACCCTTTACACCGTATCGTTCCTCATTTTCCCAACTACTCGGGTAATCAAACTGTCTAAATTTTCCAGAGTTGATAAGCTGCATATAATGAAGCAGCGTTTTCGTTGAGACAGAGTCGGGCACATGGCTGAAGAACAAGGATTGAAGAGTCTGCAGAAAAGTGTACAGTTAGCATAAAAATAAAATTTCCAAATATATATTACTTACGAAAAAACTAGAAATATTTACTGAATAGGTACGATAGAAAACCACAAAAATATAAATTTTCGGAAAATTTTTATTTCTGAATATACTGTAATGCTTTGGATTTTTTGTAATCTTGAGCACTAAAATTTCGATTCGTATCTTTGAAATATTTAGAAAATATATACATGTTTTTGAACAAATATGTAAGTTGTAAGTAGCTAAAATATTTACATATTTTTCAAATTATGGAGAAAATATTGATAAATATGTCTGAAAACCTAAAAATAAGTAACAAGTTTTGTGAACTGCAAGAGTTAAGGAACACACCCACAAAGTTTAACTTTTGGTCATCATCAAATGAAAAGGTTGAAAACAAATACGTATCCACCCTCTGAAAATTACTCAAAATTGCAGTTGTTCCCCTTGTGCTTACATAATTCATTTGAAGTGGGTCTTTGCCAAAAAGGTGAGCATTTATTTCGGCACACAAACCTAATGAAAGTTTAACCAATTGATGTAAAATTATTGGTTCTTCAACTTGTTCAGATAAGTAATTTCATTATCATTACATACCACATGCCAAATTCATGTAGGAGCACATTTCTCCCAACTTTTGTCCAAATTGTTCTTCGAAAAACTTCATTCCGTTAAAGTGGCCTTGAAACTTATCATGGGTAAGGACCTGGCAGAAAAATAAAGCAGCCAGAAATGTTACGTAACACGGTGTGCGTAGGAGTTTGAAAAATTTCATTACATAAAGTTCTTCGGCAAATGGGGCAAAATGTTTCCCAATGGATTCCGTGTTGGAGAGAAAAGCAACCTGTTTTCACGGATGAAATTTATTTTGGACTCAATTTTAGTTTTTTTTTCACAGTTGTCACCTTATGCAAAAATCTTTCTCGGATGCACTGGCAGTTTCATTTATTGATGTAATTAATGGATGCACGACTTACGGGAGCGTATAGAATGGCACAAAGTCGTTCAATTCTGGAATTTCTGACATGGCCACTATTAATTATAATTAAATAATAATTATTTTGTTAAATTGAGGTCTAATTTGCATCGTAAATAAAATAGTTGGCTTGATCTGCGTCGTGCATACCGAAAAATGATGTTGATCCCATGGAGTGCCCAATATAATAAATTTTAGGCTGACGTGCTACACTCCGGATGTAGTGAATCACTGCAGGAAGATCGTACATCCCCATTTCGTGAAATCTATCAAATTTTAAATTTTGATCACTTTAACATTGCTATGAAAAATTTCACAAAATATGTAAGCATTACGAAAAATTCCAATATTCTGAACTCTCCGGATCCAGTTTGACATGTTTTTGAGAATAACGCGTTCCTCTGCCGTTACTCAGCCACACATCGTAACCTTCAGACGCTAACTTGAATGCTATTCATACATAATGTTGCCAATTCAAAAATGTGTACTTTTAAATATGCAATTATTTAATTGAACCGACCTAAATTTCTCAGACCGTGTTGCATCAGCCAAATGTGACCGTTGGCAAATAAGCCATGATTCAATAATACGGGAAACTTGTTCTCGTTCTCGTCATCCTCTTGTTCTTGCAAGCCTCGATATGTCCTTCTCTTACCCGGAATTCGAAACAGGTTTAAAATGTACCCATCTTCCGTGACCACGGTGTGAGACTCGACCGGAAAACCGTATTTTTTAATCACTTGTGGCTACGTTAAATAAACATTTAAAATTATCAACCCCATTTTTGATAACTTTTTACAGCTGCAAGTATATAAATAGGCAATTAGCAATTCTACTTTCCTTAAATTTTCGTAACTTTCTGTTGAGTTAAGTCAAAATTTCTGGAGCCGATCTTGAAATCATTGTTAAATGTCTGCTGAAAATTATCCTCCGAAAATTTAGACCAAAATCAAAATAAAAGAAAATTTACGGGGATTTTACGAACGTAGAATTGCTAAACGTCTAAAATGTATGATTACCGTTTTAAGATACATGTCGGGATGTGGCTTGTACTCTATATTGTCAAACTGTCGATAACAGTCATCCATCCGGGACATGGTAGAAATAAAGGTCGTGCTGAAGATCCATATCGATATGAAGTTCAACATAATTATTACCAATTATTAACTCTACGTTATAAACTAATTCAACTGACGCATGTAAGATAAATTATTTATGCATCCAACTAATTAAAACATTACATTGTTAACAGACCAAAGTGGAATCAGTGTCAAAATGACAATGCCCTTGTTTACGTTGTCTGTATTTTTCATCGGACCTCGTCCCGTAACAAATGCATAAGACGAATCAATAAGATATTTATAAATATTCAAATCGTAACAACCACAATGAAATGAACCACATTTTAAACTTATCGTACATATTGTGCAATTTTGAATTCGTCCAAAGCCTTGAATTGATTTATTACCACAACACGACCAGGAGGGCCGGAAGACCTTTTCATTTAAATTGACATTTGACATAAATAATAAAAAAAACATAAATTGCAATTTGCCACTTTCTCCACCCTGCAAATTAATCAAACTTTCTCTTCCTTTCTCTCACACAGCTTTCTCGAACAAAAGATGACTATTATGCAACCGAGAGTCTCCTCCTCCGCCATTATTATTTATTATGCAAAATTACTCGGTCGTGGCAGGATGGCTGGCTGGCTGGCTGGTGGGTGGTGAACAATGCTCCATTATTCCTTTCCTCAATGGAGAGAAAGCAATTGATTGATTGGAAGGGTGACGCCTCTTCGGATTTTTTCAATAAAAGGAGAAAATTTATCAGAATGCGGAATGATGGAGGTTGATCGTTCGTTTGTAAGGAAATTTCGGGTCATGGTGTGGTCCTGGCAGTGATGGAATACCGGCGAAACTTGACGAGCTGCCTCCTTGACGCAGTATGCAAAATGTGAAACAACGGGTGAAATTATGGGATGAAAGTGCTTACATAAGTTTGTAAAATATTATTTATTTTGCAGGTTTCGTATTTTGAGAAAAATAAAATAATTTGGGAGAATTTATTTAGTGTCAAAACGGGAACTATGCATGGACAAGTTACCGGAATCAATCACTGCATGTAATCATCCACATATTTTTAATTAAGCAATTAAAAATGCATGTTTTAAGTAATGTTAAATAATTAATATATTTATTTCGTATTTCGTATTTTTTAGTTGCTAAAATAATTGTCTCAAGCTAACGTAAATTCTTCACATGCAAAATTTTATCCTAGGTTCAGGACGTTGAATGAAGAAAGTGCATCTTGAGTCATCTAGTCCACAGTACAGCGGATGGAAAGCAGGTTGGGAAATAGTCCCTTTTTCCCACCAAAGAGTGCAGAGTACGACTTTGCAATAGGGATCGCTTTCCATGTTTCAGCTTTCATACAAGTAAAGCAAGTTTTCAGTTTCGAAAATATTTTGTAAATAAATATTTCGCTTTCTGTAAACACTATTGATTCAAGATGCGTATAATTTAAATTATAGTTACTAAATGAAAATTATAACTTAAACGTTCATGTATTCTGCTTTTAACTCAGATTTTTCATAGGTAACTTTGTCTTCTGAAACACATAAAATGACATAGAATAACAAAAATCGATGTAAATAAGGAATAAATAATGCACACATTTCCAAAAACCCAAAATTGTATTTATAAATAACTCAAATTTAGGCAAATTAAATAGCATCAAACATTAAACAACATATACTAAATAGCACGTCGCTTACAATATACAGAGTGAAATTCATGAGTAAATTATCAAACCCATGCACCAATAAAACAACGCGAGCAGCATTACCATAAATTCCAAATTTGTCCAATGATCCGCAACACATGCGGAACCTAATCTGCTGGTAGAAGGATGTGTGTATTTTGCTTGCTCTGTGGATTTGAGATTTAAGCCGCATTAATAGTTTCGAGCTTATTCTATTTGTCGTGTTAGTCGATCCATTAGCTTCATTCTTTTCATGTTAATACGAATGTACGATGTGGGGAGGGAGGGGAAATTATGAGCCATTACTTTTATGAATGAATCCCACCATATCGCACCACCCAGACTTATGTACATATAAATACATGCAGAACCAATGGTTGGGGTTCGGGTTGGACGAGGGGAGAATTCCCAGGCACACCCTAACAAAGTAATAAATATGGATGAAAATCGTTTCTAATAGTTTAATTTACCTGTACTAACTTTGCAATGAAATTGAGATGCTTGCTCGAGGATATATATATTTTTAATGCTACTGCAAAATAATAATAATGGTTTTTGAACTGCATGAGACAAATGTGTGAAACTTGATTTATTCATAATTTGCAACAGTAATAACCTATAGGGTAGACTTCATTTAGCCCGAGTTAAATATACTCCGCTTCTATTTTTTTCCGGATTTACCGGAATTAATAGCATAGTATAGCACCCCCTGTGGTGGGGATGGTCGAATGCTTATTAAATATAGGGTCCCTCTAGTCGAAATTTTTCAATTTTACCTCGGAAACTTTCACTACAAGCCATTAGCAATCTGCGTGCCAAATTTCAGCTTTATAAATTATAAATTTTGGTGCACAATAACCCCACCCACCTACAAGACCCTTATTGACATCCATTTGACCGATTTTACTCATGTTCGAACTTAACTCCTAACTTTGTTTAATATATGTCACGTGTAAAAATTAGATATAAATCGGTTCAGCCGTTTTGTCTTATCGTATCCCGTACAAACAGATCGACGGACACAACGGTTATATATTTACATACATAAACCTTGACTCGATCTAAAAACTAATTTTGACTCTGCTACTAATTTTAGTACTAAATTTTAGTCTTTGATTATGTCATATTGCTTTATTATGCACATAACTCATTTTCCCCTGCCTTTGTGTGTGATCGTGTTTATTAAACAACTTGTTTCACACACACAGCAAGCGAAAACCTGACTATGGAACCAAAATGTACCTCAGATCTAGCTAATTCAGACACACCTTTTCCACAATAATTCCCGACTATGCCTGGACTAAATTAGATTTCCAATAATCCAGTAGCAGCGGAAAGGAGACGCCGTTGGAATACTAATCACATCAAAATTGGTCTTGATTAAATTGAGACCATTTAATTAACCAAACCCAGCACCAACCAACCACTGGCCTGGCCGTCTATGCAAAAGAGTAATAAAGTGGTGGCAAGCAAGGTGTGCGTGTGAGGTTCCCATCTAATAAATATCCAACAACAACCACGATGCATATCTAATTAACTCTTTACCGACGACGACGACGATGTGGATTCAAATCCAAACTTTTTGGTCAATTTGCTCCCTAATTTTACTTTATTACTCTTTCGGCCAAATCCACATTTCCGGAACTCATTTCTTCTTCGTGAATGAATTAGTACCTCTGTGCATGCATTGGCCCATAATGTGAGATGAAGCCCAAATAGCGAGCCCCTGCAATTATCCAAAGTCCGGCCCCTTCCACATTTTTAAACAAGAGAGGAAGCAATTTACCATTTTTTAATGTTTACTTTGTAAAAATTTCGTTAAATGATTAAAAATCAGCCTGGTTAGGAAATATTTTGGAAAAAAACTTGCCTAATTATTAAAATGTGGGAACTCAGGTGAGGGCGTTAAGTAAGAAAGAAAACTGGACGTCATAAATTATAAGGATTGATTCCACGTACGTACATGTTGCTTTTTCCACCATTGCATTGGCAAAGTGTAGCTTTTCATTTCATTTATTAATGTAAATACTCGCCTCAGTTTGCGGTAGCTGTCGCAATAAATTAGAAATTGAGGTGTGTGTACAACCGTATTTACATTTCATTACAGGATTTGCTACAAGTTTCTGCTACTTTTGAGAGCAGTTTAAGAAAGGAAAAAAGTTGACTTTCTAACAGTTCCAATTGTACAAAACTTATTAAAATTGTAAGAAAATATACAGTACATTCATGTATATTTAAAGTATGTATATTTGTGCATTTCCCTTAATTTCTAGATTTCGATCCAATCCAAGCCGAATTTCGATATATGTTGGACTAATAAAATTCAGCTCACGAAATGAAACTTTGCCAGCAATAATTTCACGAGGCAAACATCCAATTGAAATTGAACTGGAACATGAAACTGAGCAATTTTATAGCATGCCGGATCCAATGCCATGCTCAATTTTGATATTTCTGGGACGAGGCTAACTTCTCCAGAGTGGGTTCCGCCCACTCGTCACGTTTAGAAAATGGCGAGCACAATGTATGTGCATATGCGTGGCATTATAAAGTCGATGAATTGTTGGGAAATTATGGCAATCGTCCACTGCTCATGAATAGTATTGCCGATGAGTTCTAAATGTGGTGAAGATGAATTGGCCTTACATAAGCGCATTTAAAATGGTCACCAATTTGTGCAAAATTGAATGCTTGAACTCCAGATAAATTTAGCTTAAAAATGGTATAAATTTCAAGTAAATCCAAAAATTTCGAATTGACAATATTTGGAATAGCTTGTCTAATTGTAAGCCTCATGTATGACTCATTAACGGTTTTGTCTCAAAATAAAACAGTTAAAATTTTGTATTTATTTAAAATTTGTACTATTTCAATCTAAAATTAATCTGGGAGTCTAAAAATGCTTCAAAATTCAATTTTTCAAAAGTTGGTGACTATTTTTAGTGCATTTAAGGCCAACTCATTTTGTCACATTTATAATTTCAGCTAGGAATAATTTTTAACCAATTTAATGTTCTCA